ATTAATGAAAAGGACAAAGGCAAAGAAAGAAAGAGAGAAAGAAAAAGAAAGAAAGAGAGAGAGGGAGGGAGGGAGGGAGGGAGGCAGGAAGGCAGGAAAGAAGGAAGGAAGGAAGAAAGGAAGGAAGGAAGATAGGAAGGAAGGAAGGAAGGAAGGAAGAAAGGAAGGAAGGAAGGAAGAAAGGAAGGAAGGAAGATAGGAAGGAAGGAAGGAAGGAAGGAAGGGAAGGAAGGAAGGAAGAAAGGAAGGAAGGAAGAAAGAAAGGAAGGAGAGAGAGAGAGAAAAGAAAAAACAGCTTGCCCTGTGCTCCACGTTCTCGGCATCTTGATTGGACAAATCTGGAAGCAGCTGTCCACTCCTGCAAACTGAGAAGTAAATGTCAAAGAAGGGGACTGCACCTCCAGACATGTCAATGCAAACCTGAACAGGACAGACAACAGACCGCGTCCTGCCTAAGCCACAGCTCGAGGTCAAGGTCGGAGAAGCTGGCTGGCAGCCACAGGGCCCAGCTGTGGACTTCTGCTGACCCGCACAGGCAGCTCCCTGCAGAACTGCTGAGGGGATGGAGACCTGGCCACACAGTTAGGGATGGTAGCCCTGGGGGGAGATGAATCCACTGGGCTGTGGGAGACCTGGGAACCACATTCTAGAAGCATGGAGGGCTGACCTGGTGTATCGTGTGGGCATGAGAGGGACAGCGGGAGGAACTGGGAAGAGTTCAGCCAGAGCAAAGGACCATCTGGGAAAGCTCAGGTAAAACTGTTTTTTAATTGTTTGTTTTAATATATGAGAGCTCTGAAAGGCAGGCGCTGGTGGCTCACGCCTGTCATCCTAGCTACTCAGGAGGCTGAGATCTGAGGATTACAGTTCAAAGCCAGCCCGGGCAGGAAAGTCTGTGAGACTTTTATCTTCAATAAACCACCAGAAAACCAGAAGTGGCACTGTGGCTCAAGTGGTAGAGTGCTCGCCTTGAGCTGAAGAGCTGAGGGACAGCGCCCAGGCCCAGAGTTCAAGCCCCATGACCAACAAGAGAAAGAGAGAGAGAGAGAGAGAGAGAGAGAGAGAGAGAACTCTTGAGTGGAAGGGGGAGCACCTGCCCTCCCATGAGGCAGGGAGTGTGCTGTTACTACAGATAAAGACTCTGAGGCACAGAGAGGCTAGGACACTGGTAAATGTCACACAGCAAATAAGTCCACAACTTTTTTGTTTATTTTTCTTTAAGTACTGGGGTTTGAATTCGAGTCCTTGCCCTTGCATGAATGGTGCTCTACTACTTGAGCCACACCTCCAGCCCAATTATATTAGAGATGGAGTCTCGCAGACTTTTCTGCCTGAGCTGGCCCTGAACCATGATCCTCCAGATTTCAGCCTCCTGAATAGCTAGAATTACAGAGATAAGCTATCAGCACCCAACTTATCAGAGCTACAATTCTTCCCAGGAAGTCTCCCTGTTTTACTGTTAAGAGTAAGAAATCACCAGGCGCTGGTGGCTCACACCTGTAATCCTAGCTACTCAGGAGGCTGAGATCTGAGGATCCTGGTTCAAAACCCCAAAACCCATATTTCCAATTAATCACAGAAAAAGCCAGAAGTAGAACTGTGGTTTAAGTGGTAGGACACTAGCCTTGAACAGAAGGAGCCAAGGAACAGTGCCCAGATTCAGAGTTCAAGCCCAGGATCAAGCACCCAAAATTAAACAGTAGGATAGGCTGAGAGTCCTGGCACTGGCACAATCCCATGAGCCTTGTGGGTCTGTCCCTGCCTGCCCAGGTCCATGCTCTGGAAGAGCTGAATGTCACCCATACCAGGCAGTGCTGACTCTGTAAAACTGGCTTATTTATGTAATCTGAGCTGTGCTGACTAAAGGAAAACAGCACCCACAGATGCACCCAAGATGGGGGTCAGATGTTCTCCGAGCCATCCATCCACTGCCGAGCCAACGAGGCTGCAGCTGAGAAGTTCCGAAGTCCTTGGATGTCACAGGCCTGCAGCCCCACTCCTTCCCCGTCCTGGCCCTCTCCCTCCGCTCTGATATCAAAGACGGGCAGGAAGAGGCAGGCTGTCACCCGTAGAACTGAGCCCTTGGTACCTGTGAGGTCTCACCCGGGGCTCAATTAGTCCCAGGCCAGTGAGGGATTTTCAGCCAGGATGCCAGCACTCTGTTACTCGGGAATGATCATTTCCATTCTATGGACCAGAAAGTCTGAGGCTCTGAGACATAGCGATGTAGTGACAGAAAGACATGGTGCATGATCAGGCCTGAAACTTGGTTCTTCCTGAATGCAAACTCCAACCTTACCCTCCACATCCACCCAGCCTAGGCCTGGGGTCTGAGGATATGCAAGGTTGGGGTGTCTCTGGAATATAGGTGGAACGTGAGAGCAGACGCAATGGGGCAGAGGATCGCTGGCCATGCTTCCCTTCACCATGGCCCATTTTAATCTACTTCCTCTAAATGCCACCTCAGAGATAAACGTTTCAGCGCAAGATCCAGAGCTGGTGGCTCACTTCTGTAACCCTAGCCACTCAGGAGGCTAAGATCTTAGGATCAAGGTTCAAAGTCAGCCTGCACAAGCAAACTGGAGGCAACAATTATGTCCAACTAACCTCCCAAAAAGCCAGAAGCGGAGCTGTGGCTCAAGTGGTAGAGTGCTAGCCTTGAGTGAAAAAAGCTCAGGGACAGTGTCGAGGACCTGAGTTCAAGCCTCAGTTCTGGCAAAGATAGATAGATAGATACATAGGTACATAGATACATAGATTGCGTGTGTGTGTGTGTGTGTGTGTGTCTACACAAATAATCTATTTGCAAAATGACCCCAGGCTAGAAGCACCTATAAATGGGTGGGAAAGTGAGACAGGGCTGCAGGCAGCTGGGACTCTGCGAAGCCCCTGCCCATCCTCCCACCTGATGCAGAAAGCTGACACATGTGCATTAGAAAGTGAAGGCAAGCACAGGGACAGGCTCCCAGCAGGAGCAGCAGCAGCAGCAGCAGCAGCAGCAGTACACCAGCCCACTCTGCAGACTTCTGGACTCTCCCTCAGATCCATGTATAACGTAATGACAAGCCATAGCAGAGGGGAGTAGGGGGTTCTGGGCCAGGGCTCACCTGAGGAAGTTCATGACGTAGCATACAAGTCAAAGGGGCGTCTAAGGGTCTCCATCCAAAATCAGATCTCTTTTTCTCTCACACCCTGGTGGGGACTTGGATTAAACAGGAAGTCTTCTAAGCAGGACTGGGAGGTGATCCAATCAGAATATGCAAATGCTCCCATCCGCTGGGGATGAGCTAGTCCTCAGCAGGACTAGCTGAGGGGGTCTTTCTGCCAAGAGAACTGGGAACTGGGAAGCCACATTGAGGTTCTGAGAACTGGATCGTTCAGGTCTCCAGGCGGGAACAGGGAAATTAAGTCTGGGAACTACTCCTCTGCAAATTGGGGATAAGAGATGGGTGAGGCAATGTTTGATGTCCAGGGGACAAGAAAGCAGGTGAGGTCTTCCTGCTGAGCTCTCCTTGGCTCAGGAACACAAGGGCTCTGAGCCCATAGACAAAGTCCTGGTAAGTGGAACTGACTGAGAATAGAGGTCAAGGATTCTCAACCTACTGTTGCATCCACCAACATCGTTTGTCTGCCTGTTCATCTACTCTGTCACTTCCTGGATCTGCAGACAAACCCTATGTCCTGGGCCCTATCTGATTTTTATCCTGCTCCATTGTTGGTAGAGTGGCTTGGTAACTGGAGCTATGTGAGGTGCTGAACCCCTTGGCTGTCTTCCCTGGCCTTCTTCCTCTAACCCCTAGTGTTCTTAGACAACTTCTCAAGCCCTCCCTCTCCCCCATTCCCTGCCACACCAGCTGCAGAAACAGTGATTTCTAAAAGAAACCACTGGAATGTACTGGGATCCCTTAAAGCCACTGCCAGACACTACAAAGAATCAGTGCTGCAAAGAGCTGAGGAGCACTGGGACCACTTTCAGCATCTCCTTCCTCAAGTGTCAAGCTGAGATTCCACCAAGCCCCAGCTCCTGGGTCTCGCACAAAGTGGGAGGGTGGGAAGAAAGTCTTCCCTGGATGGTTTTGGGGAAGTCTAGAAGGCAGTCTCTGCCCATAGGTGAGGCCCAGAAGCTTAGTGAATCAAGGACCTATACATAGAGCTGAAGGCTGAGCAGGGAGGGGCCTCCGAGTCTAGCCAGCAGCGAAACCCTTGTCTCGCCTTGGTCATTCAGACAAAACCTGGATCTAGATCCGCAGAAAGTGGACCTTTGGGAGGTAGGCCGTGTGGTGAGGGTTAGCCTGGCCTCCATCTCAGCTCCTTCACCTCCAGGAGCAGCTTCTAGCCCCCAGCTGCATCAGGGAACCCTCCACCCGGACCTGAACGCCACCCCGCCCTAGCACTCCCCCGGGACAGGTCCCCACACGCTTGGCCCAAATCTGGCTGCGGGCACAGAGTGCCCCCCACGTCTAGGCCCGATGTACAAGGATGCCCCTGAAGAGGGACAGGAACCATGTCGCTCCCTCTCCCATGCGGGCGATGGCCTTGTCAGCCCCCTGATAAAGGCCTTCTGGGGGTGGCTGTGTCCGCGCGGCCTTCTGGGACGGGGCAGCGCAGGTGAGGGGGGCGGGCGGGCGGGACAGGGGGGCGGACGGGCCACACACCTGGGGCCTCGCGGCTGTTTGATGCTCGGTGTTACTGCACGGGGCATGTTCCACGCAGCCCGGCCGACCAGCTCCCCGGGTGGCTTTCCAGCCCCTTCACTACAAACACCAGGCTCCCCTTCTTTTCCCCCTCCCCCCTCGCCTTCCCTCCTTGCCTTGGCGAAGACGAGGGAAAGAATTCACTTGGCGCCCACGCACACTGCGCATGCGTCTCCCAAGCCCCGCCCCTCCCCCGGCCGGTCTTCCTCCTTACCAACATGGCGTCCTTGGCAACAACCCTTTCCCAGCCCGGCCCGGAAGTGGGGCGTGCGCGACGTCATCCGAAGGCGCCGGCCGGCCGCGGAGTCGCAGCAGGCGCGCGCACGTGGGACTGTGCGGCCTGGGAGCGTTCGGGCCATGGACACGCCGCTGCGGCGCAGCCGGCGGCTGGGCGGCCTGAACCCCGAGTCCGCAGCAACCGTCGCCTCCGCCTCGAGGGCGAGACGGGCGCTTGTGCAATCCGAAACGAACGAAGAAGGGAAGGAGCAGCCACACGGCCTGGAGTCTGCCCCGCGTCCGCCCGAGACGAGCCCGGGATCGCCCAGTCCGCGGCAGGATGCAGACTTGGGGTCCCCCCGAGGACACTCAGAGCCGAACCAAGGGTCTCCACAGCAAGACGGAGTCCCGGAGTCATCGCCAAGCCAGCCAGAGCCAAGGCCTGAGCCCCCCCGATGTGAGGAATCACCCAGGGCTTCCCAGGACTCGGAGGCGGCCGAGGGTCAGGAGGAGCTGAGCTCGGGGTCGCCCCCCGGTCAGCTGCAGCCGGGCCCCGGATCGCCAGAACCTTACCTCGCTCAGCAAGCTCCAGGTCCTGAGCCCTCGCAGCCACAGCAGGAGCTGACGCCCCAGGCCCCCTGCAGCCCAGAACGCCAGCAGGAGCCTCACAAGCCACCTGTGGCCGGGCCGACGGTGACAGGCAGCCTGGGTGCAAAGAAGCGGAAGGGATCTTCAGCTCAGACCCCTGCGTCCAAAATACTGAAGAAGGAGGAGGAGGAATGCCCTGTGATCCCGAAGGGGAAGCCCAAATCTGGGCGTGTGTGGAAGGACCGCTCCAAGAAGAGGTGAAGTAGGGGACATCATGGGTGGAAGTGGCGTCCTCTGTGTTTGGACCTTGTCATTGCTAGGGTGCAGACCCAGGGTTGGAGGGAACTCACTTTCATGAGAGAGCAAGCTGGTGATCATTGTTAAAATGGTTAAATGGAGCTGGACACCAATAACTCACACCTGAAATCCTAACTACTGAGAAGGCTGAGATCTGAGGATCGCAGTTCAAAGCCAGCTAAGGTGGGAAAAGTCCCTATGACTATTATCTCCAATTAACCACCCAAAAAAACAAGAAGTGGAACTGTGGGCTATATAGTAGAGTGCCAGCCTTGAGCAAAATGCTAAGGAACAGTACCCAGGCCCTGAGTTCAAGCCCCAGGACCAGCATAAAATAAAAAATAAAATTTTAAAAACTTCAATGCCCTGGGATGTCGGGAAGGAGGCCCTGAAAGGTCATTTTGGTGATGTCATCTTAGTCTCTCTCCATTCAGCAGACACCTATCCTTGTCTACAGAGGCAAGTAAAATCATTCATTACTCCTGACTTTATCATAAAAATGTATTAGCAAGCACTGATAATATGAGAAATTTCAATACAAACTGGCCAGATGGGGACTTTCAGCACAAACACCACTTATTAGTTATTACCTTTATCTGTACTCCAGCCCTGTGAGCAGATAACTATTATTCCTGTTTTACATCTGAGAAAACTCAGATTGAGAAGCTCAAGGGGTCTAACAGTTCCAGGTGTGGTGGTACATGCCTATAATCCCAACTACTGGGGAGGTGGAGGCAGAAGGATCCAGAGAGTTCAAGGCCAACCTGGACAAAGTTAGTGAGGCCCTGTCTCAAAAACAAAATAAGCTGGGCACTGGTAGCTTATGCCTGTAATCCTAGCTACTCAGGAGGCTGAGATCTGAGGACCACAGTTCGAAGCCAGCCCAGGTAGAAAAGTCTGTGATACTCTTATGTCCAATTAACCACCAGAAAACTGGAAGTAGAGCTGTGGCTCAAAGCAGTAGAGTGTTAATGACAGGGCAGGGCCCAGGTCCTGAGTTCAAGCTTACTGACCAACAAATAAATAATAAAGGAAAAGGCTGGGGGGTGAAGCTCACGTGGTAGAGTACTTTCCTAGCAAGCACTGAGTTCAGCCACCAGTGCCACCAAAAAAGCAGGGATGGTAGACCCAGTACCTGAGCACAGATCTGATTTCAGAGCCTGTGTCTACAGACCTGTGTCTGCATCTGCCCTCTATACATCTGCCTTATACTGATTGTGGCCTTTTTCTGTATTAAGGCATCTCAAGAGGTCAGTAATTAGCTGTTTGGAGGAGGGAATAAAGACAGGAGCATTCAGACGGCCAGGAAGGAGATGGGATTCCATTTAAATTTCAGTTAGCCTGACCTACTAGCCAGAGGTAGACTTGGTAGCTGTGAGGGAACAGGGGAAGGAAGAGATTTTTTTTTTTAATAGAGAAGAAACTAATGACTGAAAGTAAACCTGACTGAAGGTAGACCATCTTAGGCTCTCTGCAGATGGGATTTTGTTGTACTCTTTTTTGGGGGGAGGGGGGCGCAGGGGGCGGGTAGAGCCAGTCCTGGTGCTTGAACTCTGCCTGGGCACTGTCCCTGAGCTTCTTTTCTCAAGGCTCTAGCACTCTACCACTTGAGCCACAGAGCTACTTCTGGCTTTTTCTGTGTATTTGGAACTGAGAAATCAAACCCAGGGCTTCATGCATGCTCAGCAAGCACTCTACCACTAGGCCACATTCTCAGCCCTGTTGTACTCTTAAAAGCCATCGCACCCCCATTAAACTGAGACAACACTTAAATGACTTGAGACAGAGCCTTGAAGCTACAGTGATGAGAAGTGTGGCCCTGAGCCACCACCACCCCACCCCACTCCACGTCCCGGCAAGTCACAGGAAGAAGGGCAGGGCCACAAGGGGCCATGTAGAACCAGACAAGGAATTCGAGTGGGAATAGGGTAGGGAGCAAGTTAAGACTGAGTCAGGCATGCTGGGAATTGATGAGCTGGAGAAAAGAAGAGTGAGCAGCTGGAGCAGGGAGAGATCAAGCCATCCAGGGAAGCAGGATCACTTATCCTAGCATCTCTGAGCCTTGATTCGCTCCTTTGGGACATAGAGAGACCCAGAGGCTGACTGTCAGGCCAACAGGAGGAGATTACAACTGCCTTCTGGGGAGCAGCACCAAGGCGGGGTGAGCCGAGGACACAGGCCCTGCAAGCACACTGTCCCCCATCCCTCCCTGCCAGGTTCTCCCAGATGGTCCAGGACAAGCCCCTGCGCACCTCCTGGCAGCGGAAGATGAAGGAGAGGCAGGAGAGGAAGCTGGCCAAGGACTTTGCCCGCCACCTGAAGGAGGAGAAGGAGAGGCGCCGGCAGGTGAGGGTCCAGTGCAGCTGAGGCTGGAGCTTCAGGGGCTGAGTGCAGGTCTGCTGAGCCAGACTCAGACCCGGGGACGAGACACTTCCTTGACCTGCTGTCATTCAAGGAACCCCTTCCACTTTCACCCCGCTCGGAGCCACAAATGTGTCATTGGAGCCCACACTCAGCAAGGGGTGCCAGCCAGGGCTATGTGGGAGCGAGAAGGGCGCTCAGCAGGCCATACCTTGAGGAACTAGGGTGGTATGACCTGGGCCAGGCTTAGCCAGGGACGCTGCGCTTCTAGTCACCCTCCAGTACAGGAGGAGCACAGAGCTGGAGTCTGCAAGCTGTCCCAGGCTCGTGGTCCCAGCCTGGCCACTGAGAAAGAGGGTGGAGCAGTTACTTAGCCATCCACCCCTTGCTTCACATCACCCCAGCGCAGCCCGGGGCTGAGGTCCTAGGCTAGAGTGTAGCCACCCCTTGTCCTGAGGCCCTGTCTTTCTTCCTGTGTAACCTAGGCTCCATCTCGGCTAAGACAGCTGCCTTCCCATCAGCTGGGGAGAGGTGCACCTGCCCGTCCCTTCCCTGGACCCCACAGGGGCCCAGGTTCCCTTCTTTCTCACCGAGGACCCAGGCTGTGACTGTAACCCTGGGGCGCCACAGTCCCCACCCCTGGGGCAGCCCCACCTGAGAACAGATACAGCATAGCTGAAATCCCCTGTCTTCCTGCTATCAAAGTAGACTCAGAGACCCAGGACTGTTCCAGGCCCTCACTTGTGTTTATCCACTTAGTTCTCAAAACAGTCTAGAGGTAGGGACAGTGGTCATCCTCACTTGGAAGGTGGGAAAGTTAGCCATCGCTCCCTGATTAGGACACAGCAGACACATACTCAGCCCTGGAAGTGCATATCCCACCAGAGCCTCTCTCCATCTGCCCTGGGAACCAGACCGCTGAGAAATGGCTGCAGCAGTTACTTAGCCACCGACCCCCAGGGGAGCCTGGGGTTGAGGTTCTAGATTGGAGTGTGGGCACCCCCTTGTCTGAAGGCCTCCCCTCCAAACTCACCCCATCCTGGCCGTGACTGCTCGCGGGCCATGGCCTGGGGAGAGGAAGCCTGGGCAGGTGGGGTGAGGGAAAGCCCAGCCCTTCCCCTTTGCAATGGGAGGGCTGGGTGTACAGGTATGTGTTCTTGGCTGCGTGGTTCACAGGCTGCAGCCACCACATCCCAGCCCCTCCTCAGCTGTCCATCCACGTGCCCACTTGGTGATACAGAGTGAAGAACTTTCCACCGTGGTGGTTAGTTGCCAGGCCCACAGCACAGATGACTCCTCTGGCCCCTTCACAAGTCCCCATGCTCACACCAGCAGGAGCAAGGGAAGCACAGAGACTTAGGCCCACTCACGTTTGCTGGGGCCTGGCCAGCACAGGTGAGCTCGGCTCCCAGGCTCAGTCCCTCTCCCCTGTGCCTTCCAGGAGAAGAAACAGCGCCGGGCTGAGAACATCAAACGCCGCCTGGAGAATGAGCGGAAAGCAGAGATCGTCCAGGTGGTGAGTAGCCCCCGCCCCAGGCCCCACTTGTGGGATACAGACCACAGCCAGACGGACAAGGAGCTCCGCCCCAACATGGCCTGTTCTTGCCGCATCCTGGGTTGCTGCCAGGTGTGCAGCCTTTCTCCAGGGAGCAGGGACAAACTGCACACTAAGGCTTCTCCCTTCCTTGCCCCAGATCCGGAACCCCGCCAAGCTAAAGCGAGCGAAGAAGAAGCAGCTGCGCACCATTGCGAAGCGGGACACCCTGACCCTGTTGCAGAAGCAGCCACCCCAGCAGCCCAGGTCTGAAGCCTGAAAGCCCTCCACAGCCAGGAGCCACATCAGACAGATGGCACTCCTGGGACCAGTACTGGAGCTCTGGGGGCTCAGGTGAAGGCTTCAGGCTGGATGGGGCTCCTGGGCCTTGAAGCAGGGCTCAAAGGAAGCAAGCATCACCTTTGCATCCACAACCTTCTCCACGTGCCTTCAGACAAGAACAGCACATTCTTGCTGCTCAGTGGCTGCTGGGGTGGCGGGTCAGCATCCAGCCCAAACCGCAGCCTGTAGTCAGAAACCTGCTCCTTCTGCCGCAGCACCAGAAGATCAATCATCAGGGAGTTGGCAGGAGCAAGGATCAGTGCCCCTCAGCCCACACTGGACTGCAGAATCCCCCGTGATTAGACAGTGTGCCTGGGCCATCTATAGCAGAAGCATTTATTGAATGCCTGTTGCATACAGGTCCATGGGTGGGTGCCAGGGAAAGCAAACACACTTAAGTCCCTGCCCTCAGGGAGCTTTCATTCTTCCATAATAAAGAACTAAAATGCATGGCACTGGGAGTTGAGGTCAGGGAGAAGGAGGGAGACACAGGGTGATGCTTCACAGCACATTTGTTGAGTACCTGCTGTAGGCTGGGCCCTGGCTGGTACAGGCCGGAAGTGACCTGACCTTCAGAAGCCCCAGTCTTCAGTGGCCAGGAGAATTCGTCATCCCTGCCTTTCCAGTAATTTTCACCAACAAACCAACTGAACTGATGTTGAACAGCCAGTCCACGAAGTGCAGAGCAGAGATGGCATTGGTCTCCATGATACCATGCAAGAGCCACGATTGACAAATACAAAGTCCCCCTCTGGCCTACACCAGCAGGCGTCCCAGTGAGGCAGCTGCCCCCTTTAGATGAGGATGTTCTTGCTCCTGGACAGAGTTGAGCAGGACAGGCCATCACCGAAAGCCCTAAGCCAGACTCTGCCTGTTTATAAGCCACCTACCCTTAAGATTGGGTGGTTGCTGGGTGCCAGTGGTTCATTCCTGTAATCCTAGTTATTCAGGAGGCTGAAATCTAAGGATCACGGTTCAAAGCCAGTCCAGGTAGTAAAGCCTATGAGACTTATTTCCAGTTAACCACCAAAGACCAGAAGTGAAGCTGTGGCTCAAGTGTCAAAGCACCAACCAGCCATGAGCAAAAAGCTCAGAGACTGCTCAGGCCCTAGTACTGCCACCAATTTTGTTGTTGTATGGCTATCCCTCAGCTCTTCACCTTAGGTGAATACCACTTGACCCACAGCACCACTTCAGCTTTCTGGTGGTTAATTGGATGTCAGTCTCACTGGCTTTCCTGCCCAGGCTGGCTTTGAACCATGATCCTCAGATCTCAGCCTCTTGAGTAGCTAGGATGACAGGCAGGAGCCACTGGTGCATGACCAATTTTTTTTTTTTTTAATATCTGGTGCTTATGTCAGCTTGGTAGCTAAATGAAGATGGGAGACTGCTTCTTAGCCCTTTCCTTTTGCTCCCAAGCTCTATCTCTGATACAATGTGACCCCCTTGCTTCCCTTCCACCCTCCTCTGGAAGCAGGCTCTGCTGACCTGCTTTGAGAAGTCTATAGTGAGTTTATGAGCACAGCCCCAGGCCACAGTGCAGTTCAGAAGTACTTCAGAAGTACTTCGGGCCTGCTGATTATCAAACCACTCAAGACAGGACCCTGCTGGATTCATTGGGCAAACAGCTAGTTTCTAAAAGAGATCCACTCAGTCACCCAAGGCGGGCCAAAACAGATTCCTTAGCCTGCCCCCTTATCTCCATTTTCACAGCAGGGCTGTACCCTGGGGATCCAGGATCACCACCCGGTTACCACCCTGCCTCTCTCTGCCTTTGGGGAGAAAGGTCTCCCGAGGCCCTGCGGGCCTGGCGGAGCCATTCGATCTGAGGTGGGGTTCAGCGCTGCGCCCTGGGTGCCCATCTCGCCCCTTCGAGCATCCGGCCGGCACACAGACCAGGAGGCCAGCTGGGCAGGGCGGGGACCCCAGGCAGCCGCCCAGGGACAGGGTGGAGGTGGAGGAGTAGACGCTGGGGCGGCGGCTGCCGACCCCGCCGCTGCCCGCCTCGCTGTCATCCAGCAGAACGCTTTCCAGCACGGCGCGCAGCGAGTCCCGCAGCTTGTGCACCACATCGGGGCAGATGAAGACGTAGAGCAGCGGGTTGATGACGCTGTTGATGAAGGCCAGGCTGGTGACCAAGGGCAGCCCGCGCCAGACGAGCGGCCGCAGGGCGGGGACGGAGTGCGCCCGCGCCTCCAGCAGGCTGAAGACGTGGTAGGGGCCCCAGCAGAGCGCGAAGGCCGCCACCACGGCGCTCACCAGGCGCAGGAAGCGGCTGCTCCGCGGGCGGCCCCGGTGCTGCAGGCGCGCGCTGATGGCCGCGTGGCTCCAGCCGATGATGGCCAGCGGCACCAGGAAGGCCAGGAGGAACTTGCTGACGGCCAGGGCCGCCTGACGCAGGTTGCAGGCGGCCTCCAGGTCGGGCCCCGGGTGCAGGAGCAGCACGTTGTAATAACACATGATCCGCCCGTCCCGCCGCGGGATGGTGTCCCGGAACACGTAGAAGGGCACCGTGTGGAGCAGCGCCAGCGCCCAGAGCGCCAGGCAGACTTTGTGAGCCCAGGCCACGGAGCGGTGGTTCTGCGCCCACACCGGCCGCCACACCTGCAGCCAGCGGTCCAGGCTGATGGCGCTGAGCAGGAAGCCGCTGGCGAACATGGTGAGGAAGAAGACGGAGGAGTGCAGCTTGCAGAAGGGGGTGCCCAGCTCCCACGAGTGGCCCACCGCCAGGAAGTAGGTGAAGAAGGGCAGGGAGGCCGTGGCCAGCAGGTCGGACAGCGCCAGGTGCAGCACCCAGGTGGTGATCACCGTGTGGCGCATGCGGCAGCCCACCAGGAAGAGGATGAGGCCGTTCTCCACCAGGCCCAGCACCGAGGCCAGCGCGTGCAGGAGCACCGACGCGTGGTCTATGTAGCGGATGCTGGAGTTGCTGTGGCTTTGGAGGTGGCTCATCTGCTCCAAGACTGGGCAGAGCAGCTTCTGAGTGGCGTTGGCCATTGTGGTTAGGGGGGTAGGCCACAGGGCTGAGCCTGACACGGCTGGGGTCACCTGGGAGCCACAGAGAAATCAAGTCAGCGGTTTTGGCCCCGGGCAGCGCATGCCTGTAATCTAGCTGCTCAGGAGGCTGAGATCTGAAAGACCAGGGTAGGAAGCCACACCAGGCAGACAAATCTAAGAGATTCTTAGCTCCAGTTAATCAGCAAAACAGCTGGAAGCAGAGCTGTGGTCCTTGAGCAGAAAACAACCAGGGAGAGAGCATGAGACCCTGGGTTCAAGACCTAGTATCAGCATCAAAGTCTGGCGGGGGGTGGAAAACCAAGTCAGAGATGCCATCTTAACCCAGAAGTGTAACAGAGCCAGCCACTGGGGTTGGGGGATGTTGAGAAAGATCGGGGAAGCAAGCCTTCTTTCTAAGTGGATTGCTCTGTAATGACATCCCTTTCTAAGAGTCTGTGGCTTGTTGTGATATTAGGGGAAATTAAATGAGCTAATACATAAAGAGCATGCATGTGGCAAGTGTGATGATCTTCAAGCCAAAATGGTGTAAAGTTATACAGGCCTCCTTTTCTCAGCCCCAGAGCACACAGGGATGGGCATGGTCCAGCATAGGTTGGGAGGAGTCTGTGCTCCTGTTCCACCCACCAGCCCCCAGCCCTTGCCTTTCTACAGATCCTCAAAGCAAAGCTATTGTTTGTCCCATAGAGGTGGCTGCCTGGGTGTGTTGATGATGAACGGTGGACTGGGCCCTCCTTTGCTAGTAGGACAGGAAATGAGATAGGTTGAGGGGGAGAGCTGGGAAGATGGGGTTTGATGGGAGTTCTCTCCTAAGGGGCAGCCACAACAGCCTGCCTACCCCACGAAACCCACCCCTGTTCACTCACTCAACAGGGATGTGAGCGACTTGCCATTCAGCTGGCACCAGAGATGCCAGGCGGACACACAGCAGGCAATCATGCATAGTCACAGTCTGGCCCAGGGGCCCAGAGCCGCTTGGATGAAACTGGTGGGAAGAAATGGGGGGAGGGAGGAGCTGGAAGAACTGAGGTAGAGGATCTCTGCAGGAGATGCCAGGGACCTAGGTTGGTCTTCTGTGTGGGTGCCCTCTTTCTCATGCCTTCAGAACAGAGCAGAGACCAGAGACCCTCCATCCCATTTCACAGTTAAGAAAACTGAGATACAAAATGCAAACACGAGTAGGAACAATTGTTTAGCCCTCTGCTTCTTTCCTCGCTTCTACCTCTGCTCTAAGGAAGAGGTGATAGAGGAAGAAGAGAGGGAAAGAGGAAGGAGAAGCAAGCAGTAGCCTTTAGTCGTCTCTTTCCAGTGGAAAAACTAGTGCCCACGGCAGAAAACTCTGCCCCCCCAAAGAGCACCGTCCTTGGCAAGCTGGTGTTTCGGGGACCCAAGCAAGGAATTCTCTGGCCGAGGAGGTTTCTGGAACTGGGGTTCCGCAGACAGGTGGGAGGGGCAGGTGGACCCAGAATTCCTCAGAATGCTTCTCCTGCCTGCTCTTACCTCCTAAGCTTTAAGACCCTGTAAGACCCCACTTTCCAGAAGAGGAAACAAGTTCAGAGAAGCACAGAAGCTGGCCCTACGTCCCCCGGCTGGAGCCAGGGCCCCACTTCCAACAGACAGACCTGTCTCCTCTACTCTGTGCATTTCCTTCCACCAGCCCCGGCTCACTGGGCCCAGCCCCATGGCACCCTTGGGAGCCCCCATGGACTGCTGGGTCCCTCAGACTGCATGGATCTCGGGGAGCCCAGTGACTGGGGTCCTGCTTTTGCAGGGAATGGAGAAGAGGGCTCTGGGCATCTGAGCTCCTCAGATTCTTGGTCAGTCTCCATGTATCCCTGAGACTGCTGTAGACTGGCCCACCACTGTAGCTGGAGCCTAGTTAACTAGTTAAAGCTTAAGAAATCCCAGTGCCTGGCAGCAAGTCCCTGCCCGGCTGGTGACCTCACCCCTCTGCCATCCTACCAGGTAACAGTTCTCTGCCAGGTAAGAATACTGCTGTCTCCTATGGATCCACCAGGCTGTCCCACCCCTGGTCCCCCCACCTCCTTACCTGGCCTCAGAAGAAGGAAAGAAGGAAGGAAGGACGAAGCAAAGATCCAGTCCTGGAGGCAGTTGGCTGCTGAAAGCTGCTGGACTTGAAGCACCAAACAGACAGAGGGAAGAGAGTACACTAAGGGAGGAAGTAGCTGTTAGCTCTGTGTGTGTGTGTGTGTGTGTGTGTGTGTGTGTAGGGGTGGAGTGGGAGAGGCTGAGGTGGCAGAGAGTTGCCCCACATCTCTATCTACCCTGGCAGCCCCTGCCCCACCCCCTTCTTGCACAGAGGAGGCTCAGAGCCCAGAAGACCTTGCAGGTAGCCTGGGGATACGATCATGTGCAAGAAAGTGAAGGCTGAGTGTGCTAGGAGTATCATTCCATGGGGAGTGGTCCAAGGAACTTGTCG